TGCCGGTTATCCGCTTCAGGGCACCGAACTGGCTCCTCTAATAATACCAGAGGCCAGCCCCGAGAGGCTGGTTCCCTTAGTAGATTTTCTGGTAGCTTGGAAGCTTCTACCAAATATCTCAAAATGGGTCCTGCAGATTGTAGAGTAAGGTTACAGAATCCAGTTCGGTTCTCGTCCGCCTCGTTTCAACGGGGTATATATACATATATATATATATATATATAATAGTCAGTCTTAAAGGGGACATTGGATTAAATTGTTTTTTTGCATTTAGTTAGGTTTCTGGAGCATCTACCAACTCAGAAAAACTGAAAAGAAAACACGCAGCCAGTTTGTTATGAGCTGGACATCTGGTGTCCCCTTTTAAAAAAAATTCAAGGCTTGCCGATTCAACTTAAATCAGATATAAAATAATATTTTTTTCAATGCAGAACTTCATTTACTCAACCCTGAATGAGCTCATCTCTAGTTGATGATGTCTCTTTTAACAAGCCAGCTCATAGTCAAGGTCAGCACAGAGTAGTGCAGCTGTAAATATCTGCCCTCTAGTGATAAACAAGACAGACAAACCATATCCTTTATTTGTATTCGTGACGGCGCTTGAGTTTGGCGCTGTTTGTCACAAGCAGGTGTTCGCGAAACCACTCCCAGTGTTTACATAATACCTGCTTATTCAGGCTATTACCAAGTAATTTCTCCCGATAAATTTGAAGTGCGCGGCTGTGACTCTGCATGCTGAGCATCAAATTGGATCTCTATTCAAATGTGTAGTTTATACTGTAAAGACAGGGAGCAGCTGAGGGCTTTCACACATTTTCCCCTTTCTCTTTCTGTCTGCCACCAGCCGAGGTTACAGCCATGCACCCCAATCAGGCGTCCCATGATTCTGTCCAGCGCTCTCTATGTTGTTTGGTAACTGTTGGGTTACACTTGTATTTCTGTCGATGCATTGTTGTGTCCAGGAATTGTGCAGAATCTGACCTCCGTACCGAAACATCTCTTCACTCTCTCAATCAAGGCAGTATTTTCCGGAACTACGTTGCCAAGGCAACAGGGCAGATGACTTGGATCTGCTAAATGCTCTGACTTGAACTGACCAATTGTGCTATAGGGAATGCAAAAGCAAAACAATGTGTTGATGCTAACTGGAAGTGCTTGATGTAATATTGCATGTGATAGTTTGATACTGTAACATGAGGTAAAGAAGTTATTATACAAGGGCTAAGACAGACATATCCACATATTTTCAAATACAAAAGCGCAACATATTTACACATACCAATCAGTAGAGTGAGAGGTATTTAACACTGCCTGTGTCAATATTTGGTTATTTTCCAGAAACTGTATAAACAGATTCCACATTTTATGGTAGTCCTTTAGTTTGCGCTTTATACTGTAGGCTATTCTTTCCAATGCAATATAATATGCCAGATCCTTCAACCGATGATCAATGGATGGACCTTCTATGTTCTTCCAGTAAAATGCTACTAAACGTCTTGCAAGAACTGGACAAATTTCAATCATTTTAGCATGATAACCTGATAATGATAAACTTACAGGAAATAAGCCCAAAGTACATATTTCAGAGGTCACTGATTTTGGTTTTGAGATAATTGAGGAAATTAGTGTTGTCAGGGGTGACATAAGTATGCATTACCCAGTTGTATTGGATCAGCTTAAATCTAGTATTAATTGACAAATTCTGGACTTTAACACATATCTGGCTCCATTCTATATCTGAAAGGTCAAATTGCAAATCTACTCCCCAAGCAACCCTTATTCTTTAGAGCAGTGGTCTTCACTATTTTTTTCATGGGAGCCGCACTGATAGGGCAAAGTCAATCGGAGAGCCTCTTTTACCGCGAAGTATCAAAAGTTACATCCAGTCATAAATAGCATGTCTTTTTATCAATCTGTCATATGCAATGCAATGCAATACAAAAGGGGCTATCATTCTTTATCATTTACCAGTCAAATTGGTAACTGAGACAAGATTATTAAAAAAAAAAAAGCAGGATTACCTTAATGCTGGAAAGACCTTAAGTTATTTTATTTTTTTATACTAGCCCATCATGTATCTAACCATCCAAGTGTACATTCGCCGTTAACTGAATCTTCTTATTCTCAATTCATGTCTGAAACAGAAACTAGTGCAGGATGAGGTCACAGTAATTCATGTGATCAAATCCTATATTCACTGAGCAACAGTGATGCTTGGCTCAGCAAACACCACTCATACAATTTTCAGAGATGTGAGAGAGATATTTCATACAGCTCTTCCCCAAATTCTGCCCATTCTTTGATCTCACGGTGGGTTTAATTGATGATGTCTTGAGCAGTTTTCTCCACTGATGCAAGTATGAACTCATCTAACCCAACGTGCGGTTCTTCCTTTATAGATCAAAGTGTCAGTGAGGCTAATTGCGACAAACAAAGATTCAACTGCAGCAAATAAACTAACACAAATCCAGGTCTGAACCATTAGCCAAAAGTTAATAACTAGACCTCCCTGAACCCATTCAGAGTTATTTTCTTCTCATTGGTCTGTGGAACTCATTGGTACTTTTTCTTCACTTTCTTGCCTTTCAGGACAAAAACTACAACACGGTGCATTTTTGGAATTAAAAGAAGAAACATATAACCAATAATATGTAGAATGCATAAGTTAAATAGATTATTGTATTCACAGATCGATTTTGTTTAAAATCATTTTGCAGTAAATGCAAAAAATGTTGCCATATGCAAATTCCTCAATGGAAATTTTCATCAATAATGGAATTAATTACAGTATATTCTAAGAGTTATATATTTATTTGGAAGTGTTTAATGTAATGATTTATGCTTCCTGCATGAACAACTACCAGAAAGAAGTGCAAAACTGACTTTAACAGTGAAGATGAGCTGGGACTTTAAAAACAATTAAAGAACAAAAAATCCTGATTCAAGTGTGTGAATATATGGATTCAGAAAATAAGCATTTAGTTGGAGGGAAAAGTAGTAGTTCTTATTAACTTTTATGACCAATTTCCATTGTGGTACTGAGTTGTGGCAACCTTGTTTGTTTGTTTTGTTTTAGTTTAGTTTGGTTTCGTATTAAGACTACTTTATGTCAAAAAAGTTATGGAAAAATATTAGAGAATTACAATATAATACATACCATAGAGGGGAAAATCTGTGAACAAAGCCTGATGGGTACACAGTCAAAGGATCCTTCTGTCATGTAGTATGACTGAACATTAACTTTAACAAATTTTTCTGATCATGTTGGTTAGGATCCACTATAACTATGAGTGTGCCAAGTGCAAATATTTTGTTGGCCCAGGAAAAACATTCTCTAAAATCTGAGGAAAATGATAAACTGATAAGGTGGATACGCCAAGATCATATTATACACTGTTATACCAGGAGAATGTTACCCAGCTTTCCCATTCTATTCATGTCTGTGGCTCTTGATTGGCTATCCTGCCTCTGAATACCAGCCCACCCCATCCATACGCATTTCTATATCTATATCCATGTTGAAGGATGCTGATCCAGGACCACTTCTGGAAAAACCACGGCCACCGTTAATGTTTATACCAGCGCAATTTAGAATAACTTTTTCCCCAGTTCCTTTCTGCAGTCATTATTCATTCAATGGAGAAATAGAGCTGGAATGAAAAATTAACTACCAAAAAAGATTATCCCAAATTCCCACAATATTACTGAATGAGTTTTGCAATGAAAGCTGGAATTCTGCAGTGGTGACATGCTGTGCTCTAAATCTCTAGTCAGTGTACAGTACCTCCGGTCGGCACTGTTATGACTTACTGCATCAATGCACAGGAATGACACTGCCATCAATCATATTAACACTGGACCCACAAATCAGGAGCAAAAAAATGCACCCTAAGGTTTTACACAATCAGCATTAATTACATAATTATCTTACTTCATTAAAATACCCAATATCGTAACTGGAGTTCAAGGTGTTTCTAACCGATACTGAAAAATGGCCTCTCTAAAAATGCTATTATACCTGTACAAACATAGACTGCATATCTAGTATGTGTACACAAACATGCACAAGCATATTAAAGGGATAATTCACCTAAAAATAAAAAATTCTGTCATTATTTTCTCACTCTCATAGTTATTACAAAACTTGACAAAACTTATCCAGAGTGTTCAGGTGCGGTCATATGTATCACTGTGCATTTTTTTTCCAATAGGAATCCATGCAGGGAATTTCAACAGAAATTTTGAAAGATTTTCAAACACACATTTCACAATGGGTTAAAAGTCGGTCAAATTATAACCAACAGAAAGCTGCTTGGCTTGAAAGAGACTTCAGTGTGAGCAGTGCTTCATTGCTACACTACTGACAACAGACAATAGATCGTTTTGCTTGCAAAAATTTCACTAATATGACCGCACCTTTACTTGTTATAATGGGAAATGGAGCTGTCAAGACAACAGCTCTTTTTAGATCAAGCTGTTTTTGTAGCATTTTTCCTTTAAATGTTAATGAGCTATGCTGACCCCACCCCTCTCTTCCGCTTTATGTGAATTAAAGACCAAAATTTTAATGGTTACCTAAATTGTTAAATTATCATCTTAAAGTTCAGTTAAATTATAATCAGGATGCACTGCGTCAAGTTTGACTATTTCAAACAGTGGTTTGTCTCTGTTTTCAAATGTTATTTATTCTTGTATGACTTCAGAAGACTAGAAATACAGCACAGAATTTGTGGACTACTTTTGTTTCACTTTTATGGTCCCGTTTGTCATTTTTGAGTTTCACAGCTCCAATCCCCATTATAGAAAACAGCACTCTTGATATTCTGCAATATTTTTTCATTCAGAAAGAAGATAGAAAGCCATACGTAATGACAGGAGAATAAGTAAAGGATGAAAGTATTTCCATTTTTGGATGAAGTAAAAAATAATTCAACAGCATATGAAAGCTTTTACCCTCTTAGCACGCTACACCGTGACACATCTGAAAACTCCAAACTCACCTTGAACGATGATGTGCACGGATGTGGTTCGGGGTCTACTGCTAGTCTGCACCGCACAGATGTATTGGCCCTCGTCCGTCAAGTCCACATCCTCAATTTTGATGGTGAACTCATCCTGGTTCAGAGTAACCAAACTCACCCGGGAGTCCACGGACCACTTATCCTCTCCAGCATACAGTATACTTGATCTGTTCAGCCACGCTGTGTGTGTCACAAAGTCCCCTTGTGAGCAACTACAAGACAAGAGAGAGAACCAAAGAGAATACTCAACCTTTAGCATTAGCATGTGCGCTATGAACAAATGTTCCCCCATTAATTATTACTGGCATATCCCTTTGTGACCAAAGCATCGGGATTCATCAATTAAGATAAATTCAAATATTCATTAAAATTCATTCAAATAGTCCCCCTGGTACTGTACGTCAGAAGACTGCATCTGTTTCGGAAGCGAGCGTGAATGTATTCCCTAGATATGACGCAAGGAAGAACAACATTGTAAGACATCGATCAAACCCCCAAAACCTCCTGAAGATTGGGTTTATTAAATTTAGTGACCCCCGGATAATATTTAAAGCTAAACTGGCTAGGGGGAAACAGCCTTTTAGTGATTTCCATTTAAAGACAATGCCATCTCTCCTTATTACGGATACAATGGAATTAGATACTAATTACTTACAGACCTTCCTTAAATGAGGACATGCTGTGTCTAATTACAGCTATGCCTAACAGTTAGCAGCAAAGGCCAAAATAGGCCCTCTTCATATACTGTAGGGCTATTAAACTCAAAAGCAATCATGCGCTTAATTGATTACTTGCCTGATTAACCATTCAATAAAACTCAGGGACAATTTTCATGCAATCTTTGTTTTATCTCTGATAGCATTACAGCCCAAAAAATCTTTGGTGTACATTCGAATAATAGGCGTTCGATGCTCATTAAAGTCCATTATGTTCATAATGCTTACAAGCTCTTTTTAGTCGATTCTGTGAGAGGCGCAGCGCTGAACTACTTTAGCTTCTGGAGGGCAACATCCAAAACACCAGGGACAGATGAGGTAAATGTGCTTCTTTGTGTCTTTTTTTCACCCTCGGCAGGCGGGCAGAAGTACTGGGCACAAGCAAAGGCGTTTGTTTTCATGAGAGTGGAAACTGCGGCACTGGCCTCCACCTCGTCTTATAATAGACTAAATGAGAACGCTGGAGATCAGTGGAAAGATCAAGCCTTTTCCCAATGGACGGGTTCATAATACACTGCAGGGCATCCTACGCAGAAATATTAAAGTCGCCCTCTCTGATCGGTCTTCTCCTTGCACTTCGCTATAAAGCAGTATAATTTGTAATTTCTGTAGCACTAATATATATATATATATATATATATATATATATATATTAGGGGTGGAACGATTTATTAGTACTATGGAAATATGAAATTATTTCTTTGATGAAATGATACTCTAAATAAGAAACTAAAACTACCAGTAGGTGGTGGTAAATGTCTTAATGATTAAGTCATCGAGTCATTTATTCATTTATTTGATTCGTTCAAATGGCTGATTCATTCAGGAGTGAAGTAAATGGTTCTCTTTATGTATGGTCCATTGGATCATTAGGCTTGTTCGACTTGAAGCGGATCATCACCATCAGATCGATCAGTGTGTGACATCAAAGTACCGCGAGAGCCATAGCAGACGACTCCTTATGCTTTTGAATCGCTCTCACGGTACTTTTGATGTCACACACCAATCGGTCTGTGCAGCGCCGCTTCAAATCCAGCGAGCCTAATGGTTCACCCAATTCGTTAAAAACGTGGATTAAGAAATGAAATGCCGCTGTGTGTTGTTCTGCTTTGTCTTTATATTTCCGTTGGCAAAATTGAGCAAAACAGATAACACTGTGTCTAAAATAACACAATATTCACTTCTTATTTATTGAACTGTTGTATAAGATCAGTATCACATTTGCACTTGTGTGATATTGCTTAACTATATGATGTAAATATGAGACAAAAACTCAAACGGGCATTTTTGCCCCATATCTTGAATTTTAGGGACATTCTAACTACATTCTCTATAGGCTCCATCACGCAGTGAGTTGTTGCCCTGCATCATATTTGTCATCAATCAGCTGTATGAAATGTCAGATGACCCACGTAGGTCTGGGGCGGGGCAAGTGTGTTAAATTTTTCAATCTTTTTAACATTTTTTTCAATTTTTCAATTGTAAATAGTTAAATCCCCAGCACTAATATATATATAATATACATTAGCTTGAGTTGACAGTAGTAATAGCTTGAGTTAGGATGCAGATGTTAAGTTATGTTCATAATCACAAACAGTAACATCTGTAAAAAAAAACTAGGGGTGACCCCGAATAGTCGACGATTCGATCCTTCGATAGGAGGAGCCCGATTCGACTACCAATCTCACAGTCGAATTATTTTAACGTTTGTGAATAAATCCAACCACCCCTATAAGATTTAAGTTTCACTTTCCATAACCCGTGACTGACAGAGAAGCATCTTGTCGGCAGGGATTTAAATCTTTAACAAGACTCAAATTGACACAGGCAGAGTGAAAGACAGGATTTTTTCGATCAGGTAGGGTACAAGTGATTTCAAAACATTTCAGCCGGTTTATATATATATCATGTATAGCCTATATTATTTATCTTGTTTAAGATGCATTTGGTTGAGGTGCGTTGCAGTAAAGAGCTTCATTGTAGTAGCCTCCTACTACGGTGATTATCTCTTCTGCGTGCAGCGCGAGCAGGACAAACAACAATGCATAATATTAATAACTATGACTGGGAGAGTCATATAGGCTACAAAACATTATAATGAGAACACTATTATAATAAAACGCTGTGAATTTTTAGAGTTTAGTTGCCGTGTTTCTGCACGTTGTTGCGTGAAGAACGCGTCCACAAAAGGAGTTCATTCAGAATGCGCAGCTCAAAACAAAAATGCAGAACATTAATAACTACTGTCATATAGGCCTACATAACATTATAATGAGAGCACTAATTTAAAAAAATGTAGGGTTTCGCTGATTTTTAATGTTTAACTACCTTTTCATCAAAATATTATTTTTGTATCTACGAGGTATCCGTTACACATTTTCCCTGTGTGTTAACGTCGGTTATTATGACTGTCAAATGTCTGACTTGACTCTTCTTAATGTATTTTGCCCCCGCCCCCCAAACATATGATTCAACTATCAGTCGACTATATGCAAGATTCGAAAATTCCGATTCGACTATGAAAATCGGGGGGACACCCCTATAAAAAATGGTAACAACCACATTTTTATATGATGAAATTTAATTATTCTGACTGTATGAGTTTTATTCAAATTAACCATTGGTCTTCCATAGTGTATACATTTATATCATGATATCCACAATTAAAACCACACATATAGCACCTCAATATCATGGTAAAATGTAACTCTGTACCTATGGTGTCTAGGTATTTGTATGAAAATCAGTAGTCTAAATACATTTAGTATAAATGCACTATAGCTTAATTACAAAAATACTGTAATTATATTCCATTACTCCTTTAATACAGTTAAAACGTGTCTAAATTAATAATATAATAAAATTCAATATGAATATCCCACATTCCTGCCATAATACCACGGTGCAGTTAGTGTTACTACAGTAAATCCATGGTAAATGATGACGATTTGTAGATCCAAAAGCCTTCTGTCTCCCAAGGTGAATATAAGAAGCAAGTCAGAGCCAACCACAATAGCAGAAAGAGATGCATCAGCTGGTGTGTAAAGCACAAGGTTGTGAAACAGTGTAACTGTAAAGCACACTCAAGGGCATTCAAAGTTTGCTGGAATGACAGGGAAAAAATGCACAGCAAAAGCAGCTGTTGCACATGTAATTGAACGAAACCCTTGATGAAACACAGTTTATGGGATCAAAGAGCAAAGCTATCGCACATTCGTCATGTAGACATGGATGATATGGTAAATAATACAGGAAACAAAGAGTGCTGCTGTTCAAATAGCCTTTCGCTGCACACGGCTGGTGTGCTTGCATGCATACACAGATGACTGCACACGTGCAAGACTGTATATTTGAAGGAACTGTTCACCCAAAGATGAAAAATTTGTCGTTAATATTTACTCACACTCAAACTGGCATGACTTTCTTTGTTCACTAACTTCAGACTGTTGTTTCAGACTAAAATACAAGTCCTATCCACAACCCTCTACGAACACCTTGGCAATTGAATGGCCATTGGCTAGTAAATTTTTGTGTTTACTCGCCAGACTGAAATACTATACTATACTATACTATATATATATATATATTAGTGGTGTCAAAATTAGTGAGTTAATGCAGGCGATTAATTTTTTCAGTTTAACGCGTTAAAAGTATTTAACGCAATTAACGCAGGGGCGGGGCTAGGGTTGGCCACCCCACTCACAAATGCTGTTTCAGTCACTTTTTCTCTTGACAAGAAGTGCATTTATTCAGTCGCAGAACGACTGAGTACGGGAGACGTTTCAGACGCGCGCCCCACTTCACTTCAGCGCCAGGCACGAGTCAAACGATTGTGGAAATGGTACTGTGCTTGCAGCGCGTGCTCTTCAATTGCACTCACAAAGGCGCCGGCGCGCGCTGTAGCCGGTATCCTTTCATATCAAAGTGTGAAATAAACTACCTGCATGCAATGTCGTGGTCAGTTAAGTCATGAAGTTACCAATAAGGCGATTAAAGCTGCCTTAAAACTGTACATGCATGTGATATATTTTATGAGTCACATTTAAGAACATGTCTCTGAAATGGTTTTCAAAAAGTCCTGGAGCAGCCCTGCACTGTCTCCCTCATCTAACACACTCGATTCAACTCGTCACCTCATTAATAGAGACTTTAAGACCTGAAGTGGGTCAGAAAAGGTAAAGAAAGTTGAGAGAAAATGCGAAAAAACTAACAATAATACTGATACGATAATAATAATAATAATAATAATATTATTATTATTATACGAATTCTATGAATAAGAACAATATAAAATGCACCAAGGATTAATGAGCTGCTGGATTCATGAATATTAATCAGGTTGTGTGCGTTCACTCGAACTGATTCGCTGGAACTGATTCGCTGAAATCAAAACAGTGACGATAATAGGTGAGCACCAGCCAATGTCGTTTGCGCATTAGTTCCGCCCACTACCGGAGAAAGCGGCAGTTCTTAAAAGCTGAAGAATTCCAAAGGAA